TCTGGTTATATCTAGATATATACATATATACATACATATATAGATATCAATAGTAAAATATATATCTATCTATATGGATATAGATCCATGACTATTGGAAGGTGTGGGAGAGAGGACCAGAAGAAGTTCCCCTTAGAACATGGTGATAGATAGATAGATAGATAGATAGATAGATAGATAGATAGATACACACACATATATACATACGTAGATATCTATAGTAACATATATATGTATCTATATTGATGTAGATCGATGATCATTAGAAAATATGGGAGAGAGGACTAGAATAAGTTTCCCTTAGCCCATACACACACACACACACACACACACACACACACATATCGATATCTATGTATAGAGATAGAGATCCATCATCATTAGATGATATGGGAGAGAGGACTAGATGAAGTTCCCCTTCGGACATAGTTTACCTTCTAATCTATCTAATATCGATAGTAACATATATATCTACTATATAGATGCATAACCATTAGAATATATCATGATTGTCACATATATACACACACACATATATATAAATATTGATAGTAACATATATATCTATCTATATAGATATAGATCCCTGATCATTAGAAGATATAGGAGAGAGTACTAGAAGAAGTTCCTCTTAGGACATGTTTTTTTAAATATGTGTGTGTGTGTTTATGTGTGTGTGTGTGTAGATATATAGGTGTATATATATAGATAGATAGATATATGTATAGATATAGATGTGTAGATGTAGATACTGAGAGATAGAGATTTACATAGATATAGAGATAGAGATATATTGATATTGATCTAGACATACATACATACATATCAATAACGACATTTATATAGATATAGATCCATGATTGTTATGGAGTGTGGGAGAGAGTACCAGAAGTTCCCCTTAGGACATGGTTATATCTATCTTTCTATCTATCTATCTATCTATCTATCTATCTATCTATCTATCTATCTATCTATCTATCCATCCATCCATCCATCCGTCTATCCATACATATATAGATATCAATAACAACATCTATATCTATTTATATAGATATAGACCCATGATTATTAGAAGGTGTTGGAGAGAGGCCCAGAAGATATTCCCCTTATGATATGGTTATATTTATCTATCTTTCTATCTATACCTATATACATATAGGTATAGATATTGATATCGATAGTAACATATCTATCTATCTATATAGATATAGATCCATGATCATTAGACGGTGTGGGAGAGAGGACTAGAAGAAGTTCACCTTAGGACATGGTTATATCTATGTATATCTATATATATATATACATACATACATACATACATATATAGATATCAATAACAACATCCATACCTATCTATATAGATATAGATCCATGATCATTAGTAGGTGTGGGAGAGAGGACTAGAAGAAGTTCACCTTAGGACATGGTTATATCTATCTATCTCCTAACTATCTATCTATCTATCTATCTATCTATCTATCTCAATAACAACATCTATATCTATCTATATAGACACAGATCCATGATTATTAGAAAATTGGGAAAGAAGAGCAGAAGAAGTTTCCTTAGGACCTGGTTATATCTAGATATATATACATATATACATACATATATAGATATCGATAGTAACATCTATATCTATCTATATAGATACAGATCCATGATCATTAGAAGATGTGGGAGAGAGGACTAGAGGAAGGTCCCCTTAGTACATGGTAATATCTCTATATATACATATATTCCTATGTATATAGATATCAATAGTAAAATATATATCTATCTATATGGATATAGATCCATGATTATTGGAAGGTGTGGGAGAGAGGACCAGAAGAAGTTCCCCTTAGAACATGGTTTTATATATATATATATATATATATATATATATATATAGAGAGAGAGAGAGAGAGAGAGAGAGAGATACACACACACACACACACACATGTATCGATATCTATCTATAGAGACAGAGATCCATCATCATTAGATGATATGGGAGAGAGGACTAGATGAAGTGCCCCTTTGGACATAGTTTATCTTCTGATCTATCTAATATCGATAGTAACATATATATATATATATATATATATATATATATATATATATATATATATATATATATCTCTGTATAGATCCATAACCATTAGAATATATCATGATTGTCACATATATACACACACACATACATATATAAATATCGATAGTAACATATATAAATATCTATCTATATAGATCCCTGATCATTAGAAGATATAGGAGAGAGTACTAGAAGAAGTTCCTCTTAGAACATGTTTTTTTAATATGTGTGTGTGTTTATATATATATATGTGTGTGTGTGTGTGTGTGTGTGTGTGTGTGTGTATGTGTAGATATATAGGTATAGATGTATAGTTATAGATATATAGGTATAGATGTGTAGATATAGATACTGAGAGATAGAGATTTACATAGATATATAGATAGAGATATAGATATAAATATATTGATATAGACCTAGATAGGTATACATACATACATACATACATACATACATACATACATACATACATATCAATAACGACATTTATATAGATATAGATAGATCCATGATTGTTACGGAGTGTGGGAGAGAGTACCAGAAGAAGTTCCCCTTAGGACATGGATATATCTATCTTTCTATCTATCCATCCATCTATCTATCTATCCATACATACATATATAGATATCAATAACAACGTCTATATGTATTTATATAGATATAGATCCATGATTATTAGACGGTGTTGGAGAGAGGCCCAGAAGATATTCCCCTTACGATATGGTTATATTTATCTAGCTATCTAGCTATCTAAACATATATACATAGTATAGATATCAATATCGATAGTAACATATATATCTATCTATATAGATATAGATCCATGATCATTAGAAGATGTGGGAGAGAGGAGTAGAAGTTCACCTTAGGACATGGTGATATCTATCAATAGTAACATATATCTATCTGTATAGATATAGATCCATGATCATTAGACGGTGTGGGAGAGAGGACTAGAAGAAGTTTGCCTTAGGACATGGTTGTATCTACGTATATCTATATATACATACATACATACATACATACATATATAGATATCAATAACAACATCCATACCTATCTATATAGATATAGATCCATGATTATTATAAGGTGTGGGAGACAGGACCAGAAGAAGTTCCCCTTATAATATGGTTACATCCATCTATCTATCTATCTGTCTATCTATCTATCTATCTATCTATCTATCTATCTACACACATATACTCATAAATATGTATGTATCGACATTAGCATATCTATCTATCTATATAGATATAGATCCATGATCATTAGAAGATATGGAAGAGAGGACTAGAAGAAATTCCCCTTAGTACATATTTATATCTATATCTATATATACAAACTTAAATAGATATCAATAGTACCATATATATATCTATCTCTATAGATATAGATCCATGATCATTAGGATATATGGAAGGGAGGACTGGAAGAAGTTACCCTTAGGACATGGTTATATGTATGTATGTATCTATCTATCTATCCATGCATACATATATAGATATCAATAACAACATCTATATCTATCTATATAGATATAGATCCATGATTATTAGAAGGTGTGGGAGAGAGAACCAGAAGAAGTTCCCCTTAGGATATAGTTATATCTATATATCTATATCTATAGATATACACACACATATATATACTTATATAGGTATAGATATAGATATCGATAGTAACATATGTATCTGTCTATATAGTTATAGATCCCCTTAGGACATGGTTATACCTATGTATATACATATATACATGCATATATAGATATCTATAGTAACATATATACCTATCTATATAATGCTCTATGATCATTAGAAGATGTGGGAGGGAGGACTAGAAGAATTTCCCCTTAGGACATGGTTATATCTATATATATACATACATATATAGATATCGATAGTAACATATATATCTATCTATATAGATATAGATCCATGATCATTAGAAAGTGTGGGAGAGAAGACTAGGAGAAGTTCTCCTCAGGACATGATTATATCTATATATCTATATCTATATCTATATCTATATCTATATCTATATCTATATCTATATCTATATCTATATCCACACACATATACATATATAGATAGATATTGACAGTAACATATATATATACATATATATATCTGTCCACATAGATATTGATCCATGATCATTAGAACATGTGGAAAAGAGGACTAGAAGTTCCCCTTAGCACATGATTATATCTCTATATCTATCTATCTATCTATATCTATATCTATATCTATATCTATATATACATATACATATACATATACATATACATATACATATATACATACATATATAGATATCAATGCCAACATTTGTATCTGTCCATATAGATACAGATCTATGATTATTAGAATGTGTGGGAGAGGAGGCCAGAAGAAATTCCCCTTAGGATGTGGTTATATCTCTATATATACATACATACGTACATATATAGATATCAATGACAACATCTATATCTGTCCATATAGACACAGATCTATGATCATTAGGTGTGGGAGAGAGAACTAGAAGAAGTTCACCTTAGGACATGGTTATATCTATCGATAGTAACATGTATATCTATCTATATAGATATAGATCCATGATCATTAGAAGGTGTGGGAGAGAACACCAGAAGAAGTTCCCCTTAGGACATGGTACTTGAATTGAGCCTTGGAGAGAGCTAAGGATTTGTGAAGACAGAAACAAGGAGATATTTCCAAGCAAGAGCCAAAGGCATAGAAATGAGAGAGGTCAGCCAGTTTGGTGGGAATGTAGAAATATATGAGGCAGAATAATAGGAAATAATAGAAAATAAATAGAAAATAAAATAATAGAAAATCCATCTGAAAAAGGAGGTTGTGGGTTCAACGAAAGCCTTCATGAGTAAAATGTCTCATCTTTATGCTTCTCATTTCCCTGGCAGGAGTCACCTACAGTCTCCCTCATCCTACGGCCCAGTCCTCTCACCGATGAACAAAGTCCATGGGGGAATCAACAAACTGCCTTCAGTCAACCAGCTTGTGGGGCAGCCTCAGCAGCACACCACTGCCGGAGGGCCCACTCTGGGGCCCATGGGTAAGCCTGCTTTGATGGTGCTACTACGGGGCAAGGAACTCTTAACACAAGAGCACAGAGAGAGAGAGAGAGAGAGAGAGAGAGAGAGAGAGGTCTGGGAAACTCCCCCTCCAGATGGTAGGATGTCCAATCAGAGCCAGATAAAGAACAAGGTTAATGAATGCAAATGAATGAGCTGGTGGAGAGCATTCAGAAATACCGGCATTCAGAGTATCACCCATGAGATGTTGGGACATCTTTCTGGCCTGCCTACCTCCCAACTCAAATATGCCTAGTAGAAAAAGAAGGTTCAAGAACATGAAAGGGCTGAGTTTGTAGTGGTGGTAAAGAAAAACTTCCTCTGGCTATCTGCTTGGTGCTGCTGATCCTGGGAAGCCCAGGGGAGTTTTATTAGCCTCTTGTTAATACCCCCTTACAATGAGAGAATTTAAGGAGAGAGTGCTTACAAGTGGAAATGAGGAGGGAGTGAGCTCCAGGCATGGGGGATGGTCACTCCCATATGAATAAACAGAGGTGGGAGATATAGCAGAGAATGGCTAGTAATCTTGTATATATTTTCAAGAGAGGCACCATCGATTCAATGGAACTCAATCCAATAAATATGAGAGGCAGGGTGACATACTGGATAAAGCGTAAGCCTTGCCATCTGGAAGATGTAAGTTCAACCCTCACCTCTGATGTTTACTGACTATGTGTCCTGGGACAAGCCATCTTTAGCCTCTCAGCAACCCAGGGAACTCTCTTAAGATTATAAATTATAGAGTCATTGCCTGTTGAGGGAGGGAGTTTCCACACTGGGAGCTCCACCACACCTATGAAATCAGAGATCCAGACCAAAAAATCCCTGCCCTCATGTAGCTCACAATCTAGGACATCCATAGAAACAACTATAACACAAAACAGAAAAGCCTCGGTGGGCAGGAGAGATGTAAGCAAAGGAACTTTTTTGAAAATATATACATGCCTTCTTGGCCCGAAGGGGGTCCCATGTGCCTAGGCCAAGAGGCGAAAGGCAACTTTTCTTCTGTTTTGTTTTGATTCTCCAGAAGGGTTGGGGACAAGGCAAATGGGTTGTGTTAGGACATTCAGTCCACTTTTCCAGTTTGATCTGAGTATCTGCAATTTCAATAAGCATTTATTAAGTGCTAAGTTCAGAAATGACAGGAGTGAAATGGTTCTTGCCCTCGAGAAGCTTGCATTCTAAAAGGAGAGGCAATATATATGCACACAAGTAGATGGAGAACATATGTAAAATGAATACCAGGTCATGTGGGGAGAGAGTGCTGGAGAGACCGAGATTCAGGAAGAGGTTGACATACTTTGAAAGAAGGAGGTAGCAGACGGTCCTTAACGAACAGAAGTGGGATCTCTTCTCCCAATTTCCCCAGTCTCTCACCTGGTAAAGTGAGGAGGTTTTCACCTTCCTTGCCAATAACATGTTTTGCCATTTCTATCCACAGGCCCTGGAATGCTGAACAGCCACAATCATCCCATGCAGTCCAATGGTGAAATGAATGGTGGCCATTCCTCCCAGTCCATGGTCCCAGGGTCGCACTGCACACCTCCTCCTCCATATAATGCTGACCCCAGCCTCGTCAGGTATACCTGTCTCTGGGCCCCTCTTACATGGCATGTGAACACTTGTGTGATAGCTTAGCTTTCCCGTTTCCCTCCCTCTCCACCCTGCCTTGTTCTCTTGTCCACTAACCTTAGTACCTGTCTGCTGATACTGCTCCACTAACTGGTCACCAGTTCCAACTGATAAATCACTGCCCAGGTCATCTTTCTACCCTGGGGTCAAAGGAGAAATACGGCTGTTGGCTGGCTGTGCTGGCTTCACTCAAACCTTGAGCACTGAGAAATTTCCCTTTTCCCATTATTAAAAATGCATCCTCCAGTTGAAATTGGAAGAGTAGGAAAGCAGCTGCTTCCTTCTGCCTCAGAACTCAGCACCTTAGCTCCCCCACCTTCCTCCATGCAAACCCAAGGGGACTGTGGGGATTTCAAATCAATTTTTTTATAAGAGCCACATCAGTGAGACCCAGCCCACAGAACTTTTCTCTGGACTACAGAGCTCAGGGCTGTGATTCAAGGGAGAGTGTGTTGAGCACATTGACATCCCAAAAGGTATAGAGCAGTTCTAACTGCTTTGAGACTTCTGGGACACACTGTACAGTGAGAGGTCATTACTAGGTCTTACTGGTTAACACATGTTGACCGTGAACGAAGTCCTTTATTCAGTAGGAGTTGTATTCAGTAGGAACGGGAGAGTAGGAAGAAAAGTACAAGAAATAGAAGACTATCCATGTATTCCAGGAGATTCTTGTCTACCTAGGCTCCAAGGGAGTCTTGCATGTCTGATTTTTGAGTTGGTCTACAGGAGGATAAAATCTGGGAACAGATAAAGGCCCTGGACCCCAGGCAGTGACCATTGTATAGAAAAGTTCCCCAGGTCTCCAGAATGTCTTTCCTCGTACAAAAAGAGGGGGTACTGCAGTCTGGCTGGTCTGTGGGCTGGGCTAGCTATGGTAACAGTCCCTAAAGGCCTATCTGGTGCCATCTCCAGTAGTCCTGATTTACATGTGACCGCTGGACCCAGATGGCTCTGGAGGAGAGAGTGAGGCTGGTGACTCTGCACAGCCCTCCCTCACTTAAATCCAATTCACTTGCAAGTCAAGGCATCACCTTCCTGCTGTCACGGTCCTCGACAACAACCCTTAAGCTGCCTTTAGGGCAGATAGCTAATGATGAGACTCAGGGTAGTTAGAACAACCCATGTGGTAGGGTTCATTTTCCTCTGTACCATCCCCAGACTATTAGTGGAGTCCAGAAAGAGGGGATAATTCTAGATGCTGGAAGGGAGACTGTCAAAGAGCTCTGATTTAGCTTATTCTCAGTGTTAATCAGTATGAAAGAGACAGAGATTCTGGGTTCAAATCCTCACTCTTTCATTTACTACTTATGTGGCCTCAGTTTCCTCATCTGTATAATTTGATGACCTCTAAGTTCTGTTTCAGCTCAAAAATCCATGATTCTATAAAAAAAAAAAAACAACCAGGGGAAAGACAGAGGGTACAAAGGGCTGAGCATTGACTTAACGCTATTGTTACTTCTCCATGTTTAAAGTTTATCCAAAGTTTGATGTGTCTCTAGTCCTGAGGCCTTGGAGGTTGTGTTAAAAGAGGAAGCCTAAGGAGGAATCCCAGTGTCTGTCACTGAAAAGAACCAGCCGTTCCCTGAGGGTTTGCAGGTCCTGTCCCGATGATGTATGAGTTCAGGGCTTCCATACCTAAGAAGTTAACATCACTTTATTTTCCAACCTCTTTCTTCAGTTTTTTAACAGGATTGGGGTGTCCAAACTGCATCGAGTATTTCACATCCCAAGGGCTGCAGAACATTTACCACCTGCAGAATCTAACCATAGAGGTAAATGCCTTGGGCAGGTCTCTTCTTTCCACTGGCTCTATCGGTCTAAGTTCTCAACACCCAGGAAAGAAAAACAAAAACAAAGATGAGGGGGGTGCCAATCGTGGAAAGGAAAAGAGTATCTTCCTTCCTTCCTGTCTAATGTTGAGGAAAAGACCTCCCTTCATCCATAATCCTGATTCCCATTTGGGCTTCTATCTTCCTTTCTTTTTTAAAAAAGAATTGGGTCTTCTATTCCCCTAAACTTGGCTATGATTTAGAAGTCAATCCATAACAAATTTTGGTCAAAATAGATTGATTTGGATAAGAAAACTACGTGTAGTAAAGTGATAGTGCTAGATGGCAAAGTCAGACAGACCTGGGTTCAAGTCTTGTCTATGATACGTCCTTGGCTGCTTTGACCAACCCCAGAGAAGTTACTTCACCTCTCAATGTCTTGGGCAGCTCCATTAGGATTTATCTACTGAGTCATAGATGAGTTGCCTATCCCCATGCTGATGACATCACTGACCATTCCCATCTTCATGGTATAGCACTCAGACCACATGTGATGCAAGATTGTAAGAGCTAGAATTCCTATATTTGCCTCAACAGGGCTATTTCTGGGGCATATGTGGTCTATTGGAAAGAACACTGAGAATTTGTCCTTAGAGGATGCAGGTTTAATCCTGGCCTGGGCCACTCACTACCTGTATGACCTCAGGCAAATCCCTTGACCTCAGTTTTCTCATCTGTCAAATGGGAATGCCACTACCTGCTCCACCACTTCACAATGGTGCTGGGATGCTGTAGAGTGCTCCAAAACCATAAGGAGTTACATAAATGCAACAGAAATAGCCATCAATAGTATGACTGTTAGCCTTGGTTAATGGTATCATACCAAATCTGAACAGGTCAGAGCTGGGAGGGACCTTAGAACACAGAAGGTCAGAGCTGAGGGAAAACTTAGAATATACAACATCCAAGATGGGCAGGATCTTAGAACATAGAATGTCAAGAGTTGAAAGGGACCCTAGAACACAGAAGGTCAGAGCTGGGAGCAAACTTAGAACATTCAACATGCAAGATTTGTAGGGCTTTACAACATAGAATGTCAAGAGTTGAAAGGGACCCTAGAACACAGAAGGTCAGAGCTGGAGAAAAACTTATAACATGCAACATTTAAGATGGACAGGACCTTAGAACATAGAATGTCAAGAGTTGAAAGGGACCCTAGAACACAGAAGGTCGGAGCTGGAGAAAAACTTATAACATGTAGCATTCAAGATGGGCGGTACCTTAGAACATAGAATGTCAAGAGTTGAAAGGGACCCTAGAACACAGAAGGTCAGAGCTGGGAGCAAACTTAGAACATTCAACATCCAAGATTTGTAGGGCTTTACAACATAGAATGTCAAGAGTTGAAAGGGACCCTAGAACACAGAAGGTCAGAGCTGGAGAAAAACTTATAACATGCAACATTTAAGATGGACAGGACCTTAGAACATAGAATGTCAAGAGTTAAAAGAGTCTCTAAAACACAGACGGTCCAATCTGGGAAGGACCTCAGAGATGATGTAATCCAATCCTTTCATTGTGCAGAGCCCTTCTATAAGTCTTAAAGCATTATATAAAGTAAATTCTTAGAATGATGAGTTGATTGGGACCCAAGGATGTTAGACTCTTTCATTCGGGTTACATCACTATTAGAATGCCACTGAAACCAGTGCATGGAACTGATAGAGCCCTGGGGATAGTGACTAAAATAAATTGACACTATTCTTAATCTAAATAATAAATATACTCTTTTAATCTAATAAATTGGAATGTGGTTCTGTTGAGCTAAAAATCTGCTTGGTTCAACATGTCTCCACCTTAAAATGCGAACGCGCACACACGCACACACACACACACACACACAATTGTTATTGAGGCTTTATCATCATTCCCTTGTTATGACTAGAGAGATTTACAATAGCTCACACCAGTAGAGGGTTTTAAGACAAAGCACATTCCTCTTAGTGGCCTATTGTATGTTATTATTGTCCCCATTTTATGGCTGAGAAAGTGAAAAGCTATTGGGCTATTTGGCACCACCTTAACCCCCTGGACACCCTATCTACTCCTCAGCTTCTTTTGGACTCTTTCTGCTCAGGGTTCTTCCAGGGCCATTGCCAGTCCAGGGCTATCACCAAAGGAGAGACAGCGGTTTGTCATTGGTAGCTGGGGCCAGCTGCATAGGCTTAGCCTTCAGATGCTGTCTTCACTAACTCCAGGAGAGAGGCAGTCTGCGCACTCAGTAATCAATTGCTGCCTCCTGACCTTCATTCCTGCAGCCTAATTCAAGGGCCATCAGATTGCCAAGCTGTGTCCGAGTGAAAGTTTTAACTCTCATCTCACTAAGTGTGATGCCTGTGTTTCTAACATCGGTGTTGGGGGTGGATTTGGGATTACATTACTTTTTCCAAAATTGGCCTTGAATCTGTAGGTCTGGTCTGACCCCCTCCCCCATCTTTTTATTTAAGGGAATAGTCTTGTGATGTCTACAAATTATTAATTTACCACTCTCCTTGTTTTTTCTCTCCCAGTAACATCCCAGGCCAATGATGCCCACTAGGCCCTAAGTACTCAACTTGATCTCACATCTCTGTTCAATGAGCTCTTCCTATTGGCAGCTACTATCGGGAATTTCAATTCTATACCTGAGCTCCATTTCGGTTGACATTACCAAATGTGGTTGTCCCCATAAATTAGAGAGGCTTGGGGCAGCCAGATTGCACAGTGGATAGAGCACCGGCCCTAGATTCAGGAACACCTGAGTTCAAATCTGGCCTCAGACACTTGACACTTACTAGCTGTGAGACCCCGGGCAAGTCACTTCACCCCATTGCCTCACCCAAAAAGAGAGAGAGAGAGAGAGAGTCCCAAGGCTTTGCCCTCCCATGCATGCTTCTCTGAAATATCCCTCCTTACTTCCTATAGAACCAAGAGCATCTCTAGAAACCACACATTTGGTCATTCAAGAGAGCAGATGTCTATAGTGAGAGCCAGGATGTATTATGGAAACTTTGTGTAAGAAATCAGTCAATTAATGTTGATTGGTTGATTGATTGATTGATTGATGTCAGTACTGGGAGTTCCAGTATAGATATCTGCTCCCTTCACATTCACGTTCGTGTCAAACCCATAGGACGTTCCCACTTAGCTCCTGGTGTTTCTGTGTCAATAACCACCAGGATTTGGCTTTTATCCAGAGTGGAGGTTCTATTCCCCATCATTGAAGACAGAAAGATACCACTCCCTTGTCCCCAGTAGGATGAGAGGGACACTTATCTCTTGCCCCCGGCCATCCTACTCTATCTCCTTCTAATCTTGGTGTATTTGCTACGTGGATCTTGTAGGATCTTGGGGCCCTGAAGATTCCTGATCAGTACAGAATGACCATCTGGAGGGGTCTTCAGGAACTGAAGCAGAGCCATGACTATGGGACCCAGCAGCTTATCCGCTCGAGTAGCAATGCTTCGACCATCTCCATCGGGAGCTCGGGGGAGCTTCAGCGCCAGCGCGTGATGGAGGCTGTGCATTTCCGAGTGCGCCACACAATCACTATCCCCAATCGCAGTGGGGCGGATGAGTGGGCAGACTTTGGCTTCGACCTCCCTGATTGCAAGTCCCGCAAACAGTCCATTAAAGAAGAGTTCACAGATGGGGAGATCAACTGAGGATGGGGAAGGGAAGGCTGGGGCAGATCCAGGAGGGGCTTCCCAAGGGGTGAGGTCCCCCAACCAGACTGGCTTCCAAAGGAAACATTCAAAAAAGAGAAAAGAAAAACTCCAGGTATGGGAGAGTAATATAGAAATGAGGGACAGTGTCTTTCTCTGCCCTCTACCCTTCTTCTGTCCACTCAGAAGTATTTGAATGGGGAAGATTAGTGTCATTATGAAAACTGACTTGAAATCTTTTGCATCTCAGCTTCTGTAGGGATTCTGCCAGCTTTCAGACCCTTTGTAACAAGGGGATCTGCCTTCCTGATGGACTGCCAAAAAAAAAAAAAAGTATTTTTCAGTATCCTTCAGTTCTCCACAAAAAAGCTTGACTGCATCATTGTATTTCAAATGCTGTCTGTGTACTTGTGAGCTCGCCCCTGCATCTGCTGTATAAAGGAAATCATTGATTTTTTCAAGCCCATTTTCAAAGTGACTTACTTATCCCCTAATGGCCCGATGAAGGCCGTTCTCTTAGCCAGTTTGAGGGTGAATCAGTTCCATTCAGAAGCTGTGGCCAGTTCGGCCAAAAATCAGATAGTCTTTTTAGAATTTGCTCATTTCCTCCTGTACTCTGGCTTCCTTCTTTTTCATCCCAAACTCTGATTCCCCACCTCACCCCCAACCCCCATGATGTGGTTTCTTTCTATTTGGAGTCTGAATTCAGTGGGGAAAGATGGGTTTACTGAAGTGCTCAGTCTTTTCTGGGAAACTGACCACCACATTGGAATGCTGTGGCCTCAAAATTTGACATTCAGGCGACCTCTGCTTGGCACAAAGATGGACAGTGTATTTCTCATGCTATTGCTATTTGTTCATATTTGATAAAGTGAAACATTTTTCTACATTGAACTTCAAGGTTTGGTTTTTTTAAAATGTTTCATTCTCAACATGTGAAAGTCTCATGCCCAGCTTTTCAACAGGTTTTCTGCCAACAAGATGAGCTAAAGAAAGGTTGATCCAATCAAACATGCTGCCAGTTTATGGGGATCTTTTGGAAGGTCTGAAAATAAAGTCCTGATCCTGAGTCAGGGAACCGCAAGTCATCTGAAGAAAGGGCAATTACATGTTCGCAACTGAGGGATCTGGTCTGGGCATTCTTTTCCATATAGGACCCTGGACAAGTAACTTAACTTCTCAATGCTCTTTGTAGTTCTCCAAGACTGTAATTTGCAAAGAAGGTGCCAGCCTGCATTGGAGGAGGGAGTGTCCTCATCTGGAAGTTCCCTGAACCACTGGTCTGGTCTCTGTTCCTATTTCCTTCTTTGGGAATAGCTTCACCCCATCATCTGTGGCCATTTGGCTTGGTGGGTGGGGAGAATTGGGGTGGGGTGTGTATGAAGAGTTGGAGAATCTGAGAGGAAACAAAAATTAGGTGTGATATGCCAAGGAGTATTTTACGCTCACTAAGACACTGATCCAGATATTCATCTCCCAAGAAGTCCCTCCTAGGACAATTCATTCGTTCAGTCCCTCAGTAAGCATTTAGTAAAGCTCTATATGTTGTGAATAAGACTCCAAAAGAGAAAAATCCATTCCCTCAAGGAGAACATATTTGCAGATAACTAACAATTCACACAGCCTAATCCTAGGTTAACCATCAAGTTTCTTGCTAAGTGACTCAGAGAAGTTCTTATCCTTTTTCTCAACGCAGAACCCTTGGGCAGTCTGGTGAAAACTATGACACAGATTCTTTCTCAGATTCATGTTTTTAAAGGCATGTAATGAAATCCATAGGATTACAAAGAAAATGAATGATATTGAAATAAAATTATTGAAATATTTTTAAAAGCACAAACCCACAGAACCCAGGTTAAGAACTACTGGACTAGACAAAGTTATGTTTTCTGTCTTATGAGACAAAGTTCAGCTGATTAAATGGGTCATCTGAATTTCAGGGAGGTTACAGCTAGGCTGATTTCTTTAAAAAAAAATTTCTCTCTGTGCCTTGGTGTGTGTATGGAAGGGTGGAGGGGCAGTTTTCATAAGAGTACCTGGTACTACATTTGGAAATTTGCCTTCCTGGGCCCTGAATTCAAATGCATGAGAAACGATTAAAATGAAGCCACCCCTCAATCACCAGAGGCAACCCCTTTGCTGGGGTGTCAATCCAAGTTCAAGAATAAATCCGTCTAAAGAGCTCAAATCAACACCTTTCCCAAATTCTACATTTTAGCACTGTGATTCCAAAGGCTCTCTATCACATTTAGGTACCTCGTTGAATGAAATAATGAAAGAAGGGGGGAAAATTTGGGGTTGCAGAAAAAAAGGAGAAATAAGCACACTGTTCTGGCTATGAGATAGGAAGACTGAGGTTCGTTTGCTTTGGGTGATTGATTAGAAAAGGAGAGGGTAGGACTAAGATTCTCCAGAGTTCACCTTGGTTCCTCAAGCATTGCAGGTAATGAGCATTTATTAAGTGTTTACTGTGTACGAGGCTCTGTCTTAGTCTTGACACTAGTTCCAAGATTGTCCCTCAGAATCTCAGTAGGTACCGTAGTTCACTGATTCCCCATCTATTAAAGTTTCCCCAAAGGCCATTGAACCATATTTCCTTTCAAAAAGAAAAAGGTCCTAAACTGGCCACACATGGTGGCGTTCATGCAGACCACCGGATCCTCTTCTGCTGAGAAAACAGTCATTTCATCGCGATTTACCCATCAGGCACCCAGGTACCGGTATGAGTTCTGTTGTGGGGGAGATTAGAACTCTCCAGTGTTTTGATTACACAGACACACGCTTCTATGTTAGTAGCAAATTAAAGCACTTTAAATGCTTTAAGACTTACAAAAAATCATTCATGTTTTCAATGTTATGTCATGCTTCTTCAGGCAGTATTACTGGATCTATTCCAACAATATTGTTAACTTTTTTTGGGTAATGTTACCTTGGGAAAATGTGTTATTTTTTTAGCTGTGTTTTTGTGGGTTTGTAACATAATAAAGAACATGTTCAAATGGAAAGGCCTCTTGTGGTTAACGGTAACTCCCCAAATGCTGTGAGTTCAAATAAGACCACCAAATGGGCCTGAACGAGTGTAAAGAATAATAACAATTAATAATAATAATAATCACAGCTAGTATTTATATAGTACATCATGGTTTGCAAAGTGCATTACAAATATTATCATTTTATTCTCATAACCATCTTGGGAAGAGGCTATTATCTCCAGCTTAGAGATGTGGAAACTGAAGCAGACAACAGTTAAATTGGTTTAAAAAAGTCATCAGCACTTATTTTGACGTGCTTGCTATTCAGGACTTGCAAAAAACAATACTGCTACTTTCAATAACGAGGAAGGTTTTTGCAGGCAGGCCAACGGCTTTGGAGACTGACAAGAGTGGTGTTTGCTAACCTAAGACTTTGAGGACAATTCTCCAAAGTCTGAGTACTGCATACAAAATCTGTGAATCCAAGTTAAGAAGAAATGCATAGTGAAAAGACGGCTAGCCTTGGAGTCAGAAAGGTCTGGGTTCAAGTCTCACCTCAGACACATATTGGCTGTGTGACCCTGGCCAAGTTACACCCTTCTCAGTGACCCCAAGCAACTCCAAGACAGGTTCTTAACCTTTACTGTGTCATGGGGTCGCTTTGGCAATCTGGTGAAATCCAAGGACCCTTGATAAATGACAGTTTAAAATGTTTAAAAGAAAATACATGGGATTACAAAGAGAAGTATTATATTGAAACATAATTATCCAAATATTAGAAAAAAATAATTCCACAGATCCCAAGTTGAGAACCCCAGCTCTAAGCCTATGATGTTACAGACGGGTAGCAGTTCTGCATCAGTGAAGGGATCTTTTACACTGAAAGTTCCTCCACACTGATGAAATCACTGTTCTATATCAGTATTTTAAAAACAGATTAATATTAAGGTAATTTAAAAAAAAACAGTTTTGAGGTCCTTTTACATAGGCCTTAATGCTATTCATCCTATTTTCAAGAACCGAGCAGTTGTTACTGCCTCCACTTGACCCAACACAGAAATACTCAAGTCAGTTACTTGACTAGGTGATCGAGTTTGGAGAAGGGCCTAGCTCTTCTCTGAGTCCAGGGCAGGCCCTACTGGGCTAGAATACTGAGCCACTTCTGACCCCTAACAGTGACCTGACGGCTTTAACATAGGAACTACATCTAAGATTTTCTGAGTGGAGGGAGCTTCCTGATGAGAAAAGTCCCTCTACCAATGACACCTTCTGAGTCCTAGAGGGCTGCCCAGAGCAATGAGATGTCAAACAACCTGCCCAGGGTCACATAGCTAGGATGAGATGGAACTCAAATCCAAGTCTTTCTGACTTTGAAGCTGTCTCACTCTCCACTACGCCACACGGCCTGGCCTCTCCCCTTATTTAGGAGGTGGGAGAAGAAAGGGGAAGCAATATATTGTGAGTTGTGATTCTGAGCGATGCCTGCCCTGCTGCAAGTTGCAGAGACTCTGGTGTCCTGTTTGAGACATGGGTGTATGCTACGGACCAGTCTGTATAGGAGGGACACTACGTATGATCGATTAGGGGCATGCTGGGCACTGGAAGCTATGTCATGCTGAACCCCCGGGATTAGAGCTTGGAGCTCTGTTCAGCTCAAACGATTCTGTTACATCAGCAAGAGACTGAGCCAGCCTCCTACCCACAGACAGCCATGACTGTGGCGAAGGTAAAGCCTCCAACCGTGCCGGACTTTCAACAAGAGCTGCCTTTGGGCTCACAGTGATTACTTTTTGTTAATGAGCCAATTTCATATAAAAGTCAGCAGGAAATTACTGTCCATAGATGGCTGTCGCTTTGGAGGCCATGTGAAGTGTCCTAAGCACATGGCTTTCTAAGGCCTTGGAGATTTGGGTGCAAAATGGGTCGCCCAAAGCATAACGTTGAGTCACAAGTGCTAGCCACTCTGTATGCATTTAGTAATACTTTTGCCGAATAGGTATTAAAAGAGTGTGTTAAAATAGTCTTCAGTGAAGGAAAAATGACCGGAGTGACACTGGCACATTTGACACAAAAATGACATTTTAATTTCTGTTAGAAAACTTACTTTTATTTGAAAAAGTAGGATATGAGAAATTACAGACGAGAATCTTCAAATACATAAAGCATCTGCAGTAAGTCTGATGTAAGAATAAAAAAGACAACCCAAAACTTGGTTTAAAGCAGAGTGTCCCATTTCGGAAGGCACTATCTTTTTTTGTAACACTGACACACAATCTCATCTACACTTGACTGTCTGATAGGGATCTTGGACTGTTTGTCCCACCCTCTCTCAAAAGAGAAAGGAGCGTCCCTCCGTCCTTCCTCCCCGCCCTCACCCCTGAAACAGACCACATAGCCACACAGGGGCAACAAACCTATTTTCATAGAAGCATGTTTTGTTGCCACAGGGTGGAAGGTAAATGGCTGGATGGATGATGCATATGTGTTGACGGGTTCTTTAAAAACAAAATGTCAGCCTTTCTCACCTAAATGCCTCCTTCGAACACAAGGAAAAATACACACTGACAGAATGACGCCCTCCAAGCTTCATTTCTGGGCCTAACATAACATCCTAAGAAAATTACTTGCTACACCATTACCATATACACACATTTCCCCAAAGGTCCCAGCTCATGGTTTCCAGTGAAAATAAAGTCACGAAAAACTGCAATTAATTTTTTTAAATTAATGAAAATGTAAATAGGTAAAAGGTTGTCTTCTTCAGTAAGTAGTTCCCTCTTCACAGCATTTCCATCTTGATAACCGATACTGCATTTGGATCTTGTCCTTCATTGCTTAGGTCGACAGATGATCCATTCCGCCAGGACTGCTCAGCTGCTGCAGCCACCTGAAGGGTCCAGAGAAACTGTTCTTTGGGGACAGTTGGGGGTTCTTTTCCTGTGGGGACAGAGGCAGTATGCTGAAACTGATTCAGGGAGAACAGCGAGGTATTCATTCACTGGCTCCACAGCAAATGATTCTGGATTTGCTGGAACCCAGAGGGGTCTCCAGGCCTACCCCAGTCACGGATGACTGTTCAGAGTCTCATCATCAAGAAGAGATGAGATGGCTATTTTTTGGCCACAACAATTCAGGATGCCATCTATGAAGGCATGTAAATGCTGAAATCAGCCCTTACACCAGTGAAATCATGGGTCATTTTGAGGCTTCCTGGGAAAAAGCAAAGGTTGTACTATCAGTATTCCTTTGTTACAAAGGACAATGTTTTAAATAAGAGAGTTCAGGATTCAGAGGGGACCCTCAGAATCCAGGAGAAGTACATGGCCACTTTCTGACACAATCACTTCCCAGTTTGGTACTACCCCGAGCCCAGAATCTTTCTCTATCCTTCAACCCACTCCAATGCAGGCATCTAATGCACTCTGTGGCTGTGTGCCCACCACTGAAATATGATTGACATGTATGAAGGTCCAGCAAATACTAAGAAATCTGATCCATCCATATTGACCCACTCTTTAAATTGCTATTTCATTTAAGAAAATTAATTTAATGCCTACAGCATGAGAAAATGGGATCTTCTTTCAAGGATGACCTTTGGGCCCCACTGCTCTGGTTTTAGCCAACAGTTAAGTATTATCATCTCTCTCAAAAGCTCTACAGCCATTTTCAATAAAGGCCCACAGCTAACAGGGTGTTCCCATCAACACTGGAATACTGCTCACATTCCTATGTCAAACAGCCTAAAATTCTTGAAAGGGCAGAGGTGGATTGGTAGATTGGATGCCTGGGTCCAAATCCTAGAACTGTCACTTCCCTACTGTGTGACTATTTCTCTGGGCTTCAGTTTCCTCAGGGTTATTGTGAGCCTCCAGTGAGATGATGAATGCTGGGCATTGTTGGAAAGCACTGTATAAACATCAGCTATTGATATTATCACCCAAAAAAAAACCCCAACTAAGGAAAAAGTTACACTGAGCAAAAATTCTGAAGGCGGCTGGCAAAGAGCTTTGAATTCAAGAACAGCAAAGGCTATGCATTGGGAATGTTTGAAAGGGATTATTTTAGTTGAGAGTAAAGTACTTTCAAATTTCTTGCTAAGCATCAGTAAGTTTCTAACCTTTAAGGGTTCTGAGAAAGTGTCGAAAGAGTCCTCTGTATGCTTCTTGGCATCGATCGGCATGTGTGTCTGAGTATATGGACACGGAGGTGCCTTGCTCAGTAATCCCCAAGGGATTCTGATTATTGATCCGTAAAGTGCCTTGAGAACCATGAACCTGGGGGAAACACTGAAGAAAAAAAGTGTTAGAATTCACCAGGACTGGAATAGGGCAGAGGGTGGATAAGTTGTTGGGTCTTTGTTTATTTTGCTGGAGACTGAGATTTAGTGAGGTTGTTAAAGAGGACTCACAGTGATAAATAAGTCAGCAGTCTAAGCTGTTTTTACCAGTTTTTTCAACAAAGCAGTTGGTTTAGGGTAAATACATAGAATCTAAAGATTCAAAATTATTTCAGTGGGATATAACACAAACAGGAGCACTGATTCAAGTTTAACTCTTGTATCCAGGCAACCGTAAGAGTTCACCAGTGGACGCTGCTGCCCCTGGCCTCCGGGCTGCAGCAGGCTGGGATTTCCCTCCCATTCTCTTTCTCCTTTCCCCTCCCCAGCGGGCTGTAGGCAGCATCCCATCTCTAGCCTTCCTGCTCTTCTTCCTTCAGGGCAACCACAAGCGGGTGGTGCTGAGGGACCAAGAGAGGGGGCAGAGGAGGACAAACCTCTGCAGCGACTCCTGCCTCAGTCTCCCCTCTCACCATCCTCTACTAGAGTGGGCCTCCCTAAGCCTCAGCCTCTAGGCCACTTCTTCATTGCCTCTTCTGTTCTCACCCTCCTTTTCTCTCTCCCTCCTCTTATTCTTTCTATCCATCTCTTTATCTTTCTCTATCCATATATTTCTCTTCCCCTCCCACCCTTTCTCTCTCCTTCCTCATTCTATCCATCTGTCTCTATCCATCTTTTTCTCTTTTAACTTCCTCTTCTCTTCTTTTTCTGCCTGTCTCTCCCTTCCTCCTACCCATTTTTTTCTCTTCTTCATTTCTCTCTCCATCCATCTCTCTCCCTCCCATCCTGTCTTTCTCTTCTTCTCCCTCCTTTCTCTCTTTATTATCTTCTTATTCATCTCTTCTTCTCCTCTCTCCTCCTCCTCCTCCTCCTCTTCCTTCTTCTTCTTCTTCTTCTTCTTCTTCTTCTTCTTCTTCTTCTTCTTCTTCTTCTTCTTCTTCTTCTTCTTCTCTTCTCTCTCTCTCTCTCTCTCTCTCTTTCTCTCTCTCTCTCTCTCTCTCTCTCCACTGATGTAGAGAACACCTAGGTTCTGCACATTGCCCAAAGTTACCAACGAGCATGAGTCATGGGTCAGAGGCAGGACTGGAGTCGCAGGCCAGCTCTTAATCCATAATGTCATTCTGCTTCTCTCCTCTAGTCCGATCCCCTGCTGGTCTGATGCTCTCTTCTTACTGGTGTGGCCCAACCCTTCAAGAATCTGAGCCTCTGCGGGCCCAGGCCCTTCCTCCTTCCCTCCCAGAGGTCGATAGTGATCCTAGGGACACTCGGGGCTAAGGGGACCTGACTAGCACAGAGAATGCAAGTGATTTCTATGGGGAAAACGCTCCTAATTCCAAATGGCCTGGGACAGTAGGAGCTGAACTCTGGAACTAGATGGGAAGAGAGAAGTCACCTAGCACAGCCTGATTCAAATGCATTCTGGGAACACAACCCACTTCTAAGCCACCAACTGCTTCTAACAGCAATAGAGCAAACGTTACATTTAAAAGACAATTTTACCCCTAAGAAGTCCTCCAGTCTTAGAGAACTTTGCAACACTGACAGTATGGAAACAAAATAATCTCTTAGGAAAGCAACCTTTTTCTAGGTTCTGCGCCTGCACAGAACAAAGAAAAGGGGGGGGGAAAGGGATCCAGCTACGAATAAGAACAAGTGAATTTTGACAGAACGTGAAAGAGAACACAAAGTTAACATACCCGCAGCTATGGAGCACCACAGTGCAGGGAGCACAGGCCTGGAGTCAGGAGGACTTGAGTTCAAATCCAGCCTTAGACACTTACAAACTGGGTGACCCCAGACAAGTCACTTAACCTCTCTTTGTCTCAGTTTCCTCATCTGTCAGATGGGGATAATGATAGCACCCACCTGCCGGGGTTGTTGTGAGGATCAAATGAGAAAATCTTTGTAAAGCCCTGACCACAGTGCCTGGCACAGAGAGAGTACCTTCGTAATAAATGCTTGGCCTTTCCCCTTCTCCTCCCACTTCCCCAGCCTAGGCAAAGCTGTAGGCAGGCGCTACAGAGATACCTATTTACTTCCTCCGACAAACCAGGGATAAACCTGAGCTGTCAGAATTAAACCGATTCTTTTCTTTCTTTCTTTTGGGGGGGAGGGGGAGTCACTTCTTTACCTTTTGCATATAGAAAACTGGGAGTTAAGGTGGATTTCAGAAAGGACACATTACCTCCGCTCTCAGGTCACAGCTTCTGGTGCAGTGTTGACTGATATACAGACTCACAATGGCCCCACTAGGAAACTCCATGCTGATCATGACACTGTCTGCATCTTTCAAAGAGGCCACATCTGGACAAAAGGAGGTCATTGCTTTAGGTCACTTCGCATTCGAACACACAAAAGCAGCAGGATTTTTCTTTGAACCCCAACATCGGGTGGCCAAAGTGAATGCAAGCTCTCAGTTAACGGCTGCATTCCCGAGGCTACAGAAAGTGTCGGGGTTGGGGTTCCAGTCTCACAGGTTAGTCCCTGCTCTAGACAGTCCAATAAAACATCTATTGAGTACCTACTGTATGCACAGCGCTGTGGGAGGCACCATTGGTGGGGTGGAGTGCAGAGCAGGAGGGAGGCAGCTGAGATCAAGTTTAGCTACGGACCAGAACTTTCAGTCTGGTAAAACAACCTGCAGATCCATGGGGATGGATTAGAATGGATGTCATCCAGGGCATTTATTAATAATCACCCTGTTCTTACAGTTCTGTAACTGGGCAGGACATCCTTGAGACAGCTGGTTCTCATGGAAAACCTCCAGTACATGTGACTAGCCCCACAAACACCAGGGCAAAAGGAAGTGTGGTTTTAGGAAACTAGTTTAAGAAGTGTCCCGCCCTGGGAGCATCCTCACTACATGCTTCTGCTCCATCAAGAATTCAGCGCACCAGGAAGGATTTTAGCACCGGACGTGACCTGTAGTCAGCAGACCGGGGGATAAGTCCGAGCCCTGTCTCTCACTACCTGGGTAACCTTTGGCAAGACACTTCATCTCTCTAGGCCTCAGTTTCCTGAGGGGGCTGGACTGGGTAACTTCCAAAGGTCTCTTCCAACTCTAAGACTACGATCCTATGAGGAAGAGGTCAGCAAAAATTTTTCATCATGGCTTCTCTGGTTTCAACAACTACAACTCTAACTACCATGTTAGAACAGAAGCTCCCTGAGGGCAGGGATTATCTGGATCTTGTACCCTAAGCCTGGTTCAATAAATGCTTTTCCATTCATTCAATGCAACCCCAAGCTTTTCAGAAACTCCAGCCCGTAGCAGGATAAACCATGCCCTTACCTGAGCAGAACGCATGACCCAAAGAAAAGACTGTGTCTGGAACGCTCTCTCCCAACAAGAGACTGACGATGTCCACGTAGTGCACAGCAGCATTATAAAAGATCCCACCTGGAAACAAACCAAGTCACTGCTGATAGTTTCAGGATAGGCAGAAACACCCAACAAAAACTCATGTGTCCCACAGGCTTTTCTAGCCATGAGGAAAGCCTCAGGGCGTGTCCATGTTACCTGACACAGGTATAACAGAACTGATTTCCACAGAGGGGAGTCTTTCACACCTGACTTCCTTAGTAAACTGAGAGAAGCTGCCGGATAGAGGCTGCTAACCACAGCTATCCGATGTATTCTCCCTAGCGCGTGGCTCTCACGGACTTTCTGGTACAAGAATTGTAAAGCTGGATCAAAACGCCTGGAGAGGGACACATGAAACAGGAAGAGGGAACCCCTGGTCATCCACAACCTGATCACTGGGAAGGAACAGCCTGTGCGGCACCAAAAAATGTCTCTCCCACCAACCATAGGGCTTCTAGCAAAGTCGTCTAGACTGTCCAGCTCTATGCCACTGCCCCTTATCTGAAGCAGACAAGGCCATGGATCTCCTGCAGCATGGGGTTTGCGGGAACCCCTCATCATGTACAGGGAAAAAATAAAAGGTAAGAAAACAGCCTGAGATCCTCTCAATCCTTATGAGGACTGTTAAATTAGCCACAAGAAAAATTCCCTGAAGATTGATTTTTACATACAAATGGAATAAACACTCTCAGCCAAAAATACAAGTCTTACTTGTAGAATCCACAGACTAATGGTTTCCCACATCTGTTAGCTTCATCGAAACACATCTCAGCAATCTGTCTATCCAAACTAGGGAGTTTCTCACAAAACACACCTTTGCCTAAAAACATCAAGAATGAAATCAGAATGTAATCAAAAACCCACCATGGGACATAACATATTTAAAACATAGTGTGGAAAGAGCACTGGATTTGTCAACAGGAGAGACCTGGGTTTAAACCCCCATTTAGATACTTACTAGCCACGTCATTTTGGGAAAATCACCTCATCTCCCTAAACCAGAATTTACTCTGGGCCACCAGGCCTGGCCTTTTGACCTGACCCAGCATCCCAAGGACCACTGGGCTTCCTCGTCTGCTCTGCAGCTGAACCTTCCTTCACTGTTCCCCTTCTCCCAGGATAGGGATTGTCCCATTTTTCCATTTGTATCCCTGGTACCTGGTAAAGTTATTGGCATGGAGTAAGCCCTTAATAAATACCCTCTCATCCATTCATTCATGTAGTACTATTTCCTGAAATACCACTCACACTGCCTCCCTCACAGGGTGAGGAGAACACGACCTTACAGTTACATAAATGAGCTGTTCATCCAAATGGTCGCTGGGATGCCGCAAACCGTCCCCTCTCTCACAAACTCGTGTCATTGGTCCCAAAGTGAATCAGGTGGGAAAAGAAACTAGCTCTACTTCCGTGTTAATCTCCTCTTGGTGACAGCATTCCCCATTCTACCAAAGAATTCTTCAGGAGGAAAGTCCTCCCTTGTGCTGGGGCCAGGAAGAGGCTCCTCCTCTCCTCAAACAGCACCTACATGAAGATGCCCCAGGTGCCCCTAGAATTCAGTAGCAGGTCAGAACAGGGATGTTTATTGCTCCCTGGAGAAAGGGGAGTGAATATGCTTGGCTGTCCCCTTCCTCTCTTTTGTTGCCAGAATCACTGGACATCAACTATAAGGAGGGAAAGGAGGGAGAATAACAATAGGAAAAACACTACAAATCCACCATTGCTAGCAATAGAGCAGTTGGAACCATGCAGCCTATGGAAGATGGGCCAGTACTTTTGGAGTTCATAAATTTAGAGCTGAAAGAAGCTTCGAGGTCATCTAGTTGAACCCCTTAGTTTTAAAATGAATGAATGAAAAATGTATTAGATGACTACCAGGTGGCAAGTGATGAGAAGTATTAAGGATGTGAAATGCAAAAGTGAAGCCAGTTCCTGCCCTCAAAGAGTTTACATTCTAACAGGTGAAGACAGCACACATCCAGGGGCGGGAGCCAGAGAAGTGTATCTGGTTTGGAAGGTGTCAGAGACGGGCTCCCGAAGTGGAAAAGGGGCCAAGCACTAAGGGACTGGCCCGAGGCCCCAGGACCCGCAGGCTGCCTCTGTCAGCAGCGTGATCTCTCTGTGCTTCGGTGCCCTCTTCTGTCAGATGACGAGATTGCACTAGAAGGCCTCTGAGGCCTCACCTGGCTCCAACCCTGTGAATTGATTTCAGAGTTGTTGTCATTGCCTAGTTGTTTCAGCCATGGCTGACTCTCCGTGACCCCATCTGGGGTTTTCTTGGCACAGATACGGAGATGTTTGACAGATGAGGAAAATGAGACAGAGTTGCGTGACTTGCCCAGGGTCCTGCAGCTCGTAAGCATCTGAGGCCAGATTTGAACTCAGGAAGGCGAGTCTTCCTGACTCCCGATCTGGCGCTCTATGCACTGAGCCACTTTCTGTTTCAGAAGGACTTACTTAACAGTTCCTTCATAACAAAGACTGGAACTGTCCACTAATCCTCTGCCCTCGGTTGTTTTGGGGTTATTATATATATATATTCCGAATACACAAATCTATAATGATCTTCAAACAGTAGCAGGGAGGGGAGGGAGGAAGGCAGCCCTTCTACACGAGCGAATGACCAGGAGCGAAGCATGAACAGCAAACAAGAAAGACATTCAGCTGAGGCCAGACTCAGGCAGGCAAAATTCACCTTTTCCTGAGGATGGAGAAGTGGAAGCTCTCATGACAATGCACACAGGCTGCCGGAGGCACATGCTTTTTCTTGAGTCCATCCAAACCTTGGCCAGTTCGGGAACTTTCATCCACAGTGAATGAACACTTCTCTTCCTTTGTTACCGAGTCCAGTCCTTTCTGTCTGTCAATCCTCATGCATGAGGGAAATGATACTTGCTTTGGGGTCAGACGACAGGTTCAAATTCTTACTTTAGGTGGCACGTGTGGGGCTTGGAGTTAGGGAGACCTGAGTTCAAATCCCACTTCAGACACATACCAGCTGTACCACCCTGGATAGGTGCCTAACCTTCCCTCAGCTCAGTTTTTTTCATCTGTAAATTGGGGATGATAATAACAGCACTTGCTTCCCGAGGTTGCTGTGAGGGTCAAATCAGGTAATGTTTGTAAAGTTCTTTGTAAACTTCACGGCACTATGGAAATGCCTGCTACCATTTATTACCACTGTTGTCCCTCTGTCATCCCATGCAAGTCCGAGGCATGAAGCCTTAGTTTCTACAACTGTAACAATGGGAGAAGGTCAGACCAGACTCTCTCAAAGGTGTCTCTGACTTTACATACTATGAGCCAATGCTAGTCCAATTCTGTAGTGCGCAGCTTTGACCTGATGCCATCCAAGAAGCTGTCTGGAAGGTCTCCAATTTGTGGGGTCTAAAATTATCCAACTCAAGGAGAACCACCCAGGCAGAGCTTGGAGCCAATAACCATTTATTAAAGGGACTAGAGCCCCTTGTTTAATCTTCCTCACAATGTTGATTCCTCCTTTCCCCAGGGCCTTACGCAGAAAGAGGCAAAGTAAAATACGGAGTTTCACTGGATGATAGACCTCGATTCTGACCCTCCAGGAGGGCCAGAAATGACACATCAGCATGGGTGGTCAGAGGATAGGCAATGCAAGGGTCATCTCTACCGACCAAGTAGTCATAAGATGGTCCCTTCCTCATGTTGGGCAAGAGGGGTCTAGAGGAACAAAAACAAATTGGGAGACTTTCCATATCACTTCATCCTACCCACACTGTGTTTGGTCATCAGCATTCTTTGTAGTTAGGCAAGTGAACTTTGTAACTGGTAGTTTAAAGTATGGGATCTAATGTAAGAAAGAATCTATCTAACCTTTTCTAATTATTCTTATATCTGACATATGTAAAATATGTATTAGTACACATAATTCCTATAATCATGTTAGTTGACTAGACTGCCTAAACGCATATTATTAGATGAGTGTATCACTGGAACTAATGATCATGACCCCTGCAGAACTGATTAATACTGACCAGAGCAAAACAGATGTCTAATTAAAATCATCTTTGTCAATTTTCAGTTGTATTTTAAAGTTTTCCTACAGATTGTCCAGCATGAGGCAGACAGAACCTCTCAAACAAGAAATCCCACTGGAAAAATCCGAGGGAGTGAAATCAAGAGTAGTTTCCTTACCTGCTCTCAATGCACCCATCACTATTTTAGAAGCTGCTTCAGGGGGTGAACAGACACTACCATGTGTAGGAGGAGAGAGCACATCAGAGAGGTCACTTGATTTAAACGTGATGCTCAAGTTTCAAAGAAGACGCACACTCAAATGACAACCCCCTCAGAAAAAGAACACTTTAGGGCAGAGACTGTTTCTAAGGCAGGTAGGAAAATAGGAAACATTTCAATGGATAAAAGTTAGAATGCATTCCTAAATTGGAATTTGTTTTTAAATTCAGATTGAGGTTGACATTTAGTATATAGCAGAACTATATGGCGTTTTTTTAAGGGAGGGTTTTTTTTTTTTTAAAAAAGGAGGGTAGGGACATAGTTTGCATTCTTTTTTCTGTCTCTTAAGTGGCCTAGTCAAGACTCCTTAAAAAAACAACAACAAACTCAGGTCTTAAATTCAGTGAAAAATGAAACTTGTGACGTTTCTTAAAGACAACCAAACACACTAGACATGTATGAGAAAAATGGATAATAGAAAATATTCTTCTCTCTAAACTTCAAATAGATTTAAACCTGTGGTGGAAACTGCCTGATCAAATCACAGAAGCTTCTGAATTCCTTTATTCAAATTCTAAATATTAAGATTTTTCAGAATATTATCTGATGTGACAGAAAACTTTTCCTAGTGTCTTGTAGGCTCCTAACATTAAATTGTTTGTCTCTTTTGGCCTTACACTGTCACTGCTAAGCATATACACCAAGGAGATGGATGACAGATTTCTATAAACAGAATATTCACAGCAGCACTGAGACTGCCAGAAACTGGAAATAGAATAGGTACCACTGGGGAATGGCTGAACAAAATGTGGTGCATGAGTATAATGGAACATTAGGGTGTTATTTCAGGGAAGCTGGATCCAATTGGTTTAGGGAACTCCCAGAGAGGAAAATCTTGATAGCAATGCCCATCAAGGGGCAGCTAGGTGGTGCAGTGGATAGAGCACCTCCAAGTCTGGAGTCAGAAAGACTCATCTTCCACAGTTCAAATCTGGCCTCTGAAACTTCCTAACTGTGTGATCCTGGGCAAGTCACTTCACCCTGTTTGCCTCAATTTCCTCACCTATAAAATGAGCTAGAAAGGGAAATGGCAAACCACTCCAGTATTTGCCAAGAAAACCCCAAATGAGGTCACAGAGAGTCAGACATGCCTGAAAACAACTGAAAAACAACAACAACGTCCATTGGCAACAGCTCTGCAAGTGACAGTCTCAGAGAGTTGCATGGGATACCGAAAGGTTAAGTAACATACCCAGATCACACATTCAGTATGTATCCAAGGTAGGACTTGAACCCAGGTTCTTTCTGACTTGGAGGCCTGCTGTCTATCCACTACAACATTATGTCACTGTGCCATAAGAAACAACAAATTCAAAGAATTCAAAGAAACATGGAAGGCTTTGTAGGAAATGATGCAGAGCAAAGAAAGTAAATCCCAGAGAACAATTTACACAATGACATTTACACAATAACTACAAGAGGAGAGAAGAGGAATGAACAATGTTAGTCCTGGAGAAGTGATAATGAAAGGTCCCTCCCTCCCGTTAGCAGAGCTAGAGATGTGGAAGGTGAGGAGGACAACTGATGCATCAGCAGATTTTGCTTAAATGGCTTTCTTTGTTAAAAGGGGGGGTTCAATGGGGGTGGAGCTGGCAATTATAAAAAGTGATACACAACACACACACATATATATAAAACTTTTTTTTTCTTTAGGCAACTGGGGTTAAGTGACTTGCCCAGGGTCACACAGCTAGTAAGTGTGAATTGTTTGATCTGAGGCCACATTTGAATTCAGGTCCTTCTGACTTCAGCACCAATGCTTTATCCACTGCGCCACCTAGCTGCCCAAATATATAACTTTTTATACCTGTCTATACACACCCACACACCCACACATACACATACACACACACACACACACACACACACACACACACACACGACAAAAAGAATGAGAGAAGAGAGAGGAGAGAAGCAGGTTGACTCTATGTATGTACTCTGATCCAATCTGAAACATTGATCTTTTTGAGTGAAAGGGGGCAAAAAAAAGAACTGTTGTATTAAAAACTTCATTATCACTGTTTTCGGTCAATAATTATTCTTTACATTTATATATCACCTTTCAGCTGAGGATTTTCAGAATACTTACATCCAATACTAAAGACAAGGTGGGACTTATTGTTTCTACTAAATCTCAAAATGTGACAGGCCAAGAAAAGAAGGAAATAAGGCACAGAGAAGCCAATGGCACAGGCTGGATCTATAGCTACACTGGCACAGTCAGACAGGCCAAAAAATTGGGCAGGGGGTCCTGATTCACTGCTGGCCCCATGACAGCTCCATGAATAACAGAGAATCTGCTAAGCTGCATCTCCACTGCTCAAAGAGTGGTCTTTGGGAGCCACAGGGAATTGAGACCACTGACAAGAGGACCAATCCTGATCTGTTGGTTTAGCAGCCAGATTACAAGTGAATAAAGAGTAAGAAATGCTGACTCCCAGGACTCGGTTTGGTCCGGTCCCCGGAAATGCCACTGACCACAAGAGGCAATGGCACCCTCACAGCCCCAGGAACAAGCACGCCCTGGAGTTTCTGGTAACCATACCGCTGATCGTTAAGTACAAGTCAGCATCTTGTTCCCGAAGCACGCGGGTGTTCACCAAACGGTCTGATCTGAAGGCCTGCTCGACCCCTGACAGCTGATTTTCAACAACATAGAGCAAGCAGCAGCTGTCTTCTTCCACTAAGCTCTGAAACAATGCCTTGCTCCCATGGCCCACACCAAAGAGAGCAAGGCCAAGGCTGCTCCCCAAAGCCCCATCACTAGGAAGCCAGGCCACTCCGCTTCCAGAAACCACACTGTTGGAGGCTTCTGACACAAGCCTTTGGTTGTTCTGTTGTGAGGGGCCAGCAGGGCTTCTCATGCGAAGAGTCGTGAATGCAGAAGGGTGGCTGGTGGAGGTAGATGGAGTTCGGTCTTCTCTGACAGGCACGGCACTGGCTGTAGAGCTGATGGCACTGAGGTGGGCAGGGAGCAAAGCTTTGGGGTAGGAAAGAGGCGAAGGCGCCACGCTGGCACTGGTGTTGGTGAGGCAGGGAACCCCTGGGAAAACGTAGGGAGGCTGAGAAAGCAAGGTTGGAGGAGGATCAAGTTGTATAGGGAGGTGGTTACTCAGGTCTGAGGCTGCTGATCTAGATCAAAAGAGGAAAATCAATTGTAATGAAAGATGTAATAATTAATGTGCCCAATCCACAAACTTTTTAGCTAAAAAAACAACTGTCCCTTGGAGCAAGACAAAAGGAATTATTCAAGATACAATTTCTTACCAATCAATAACCATGTTTTAAACACCTACTGTGCACAGATAATTAAAGCAAGAAATGAAAAAATAATGTATTAAGCACATACTAGGTGCCGTGATTTCATTATTGCAGGACGTTCCATTAGGAGAGAACTCCTCACAAGGTCACTTTTTCTGCAACTGAGACGCTGACAGCTCATTAAGTCACTTGCACTGGCCCACACAGCCAGGATGGGTCAGCTCTTTATCCACTATGCCATCCTGCCTTTCAACCACCTAAAATAAGCCCCAAATAACCTAGACATTGCAAAAGTATTTTGCAGTTGTGTGTGTTAGCTGTGTGACCCTGGGCAAGTCACTTCACCCTGTTTGCCTCCGTTTCCTCATCTGTAAAGTGAGTTGGAGAAGGAATAGGCAAACCACCCCAGTTCTTTGCCAAGAAAACCCAAATGGGGTCATGGAGAGTTGGGCATGACTGAAACAACTAAACAACAACAAAGTTGCACACTACAGATTTTAGCATCTACATGAGCACACTATCAAAGCATTGCAGGAGGCCCTGGAGCGTTGTTCCTGCTCCTATCTGCCTCTCAGGCTTCCATCAAGATTCCTTCCTCTGCAATCCCCCAGGTGCCGGTACTTTCCCCTCTGCGTTTACCTTCTGTCATCTCTGCAGCCATCTTACGCACACCGAGTCTGCCCCATCTTTGTGGACCGCCCTACCCCTTAGATCTTGGGCTCCTTTCATATCAGCAGCACTTAGCACAGCGGCTAGTCCATGAGGAAATGCTTGTTGACTGGCAGATACCCATAAAACAGCTATGTCTGTGACTGATTGCTCATATCTGTGTAATGCCTTCAGTTCTGCAGAGCCCTTCATATTCGTGATCCCACGGGATCCACAGAGCAACCCTGCGAGGCAGGCACTTCGACAATCTGCAGTGTACAGAGGAGGCTCAGACAGGGTAGACAACCTGCTCAGTCCCCCAAAGAGAACGTGCCTAAGGTGGACTCAAACCCGGCCTGACTCCGAGCTCCGCGTTCTCTCCACTAGCAATGAACTGCTAGCTGTTAAAATGGTTCCATTCAAAGCTACCATGCACAGAATTATGAACCCTCAGACCAGAGCAAAGTTAACCCTAAGTGGAGATTATAGATTTAGAGCTAGAAGAGACCATCAAATCCAATCCCCTCATTTGACAGATGAAAAAACCGAGGCATCTAGTGGAAAGAATTTTAGAATCCCAATTCTGCCCTAGGACCACTGTCTCTTGCTTGTCCCCTACGAATCTCATCAAAAGCAAAAGCTTCTTTCCAACTGAAGGTCCCTAAATGAGCTTGAAGCTGAGGGAAAAGCAGAGAACTCCCAGCCACTCACATAAAGGTAGGGGTTTGGCCTCCATGCTGCTTAAGGAGGCGGCGGTTCCTATAATGCCTGCCAGAGGACAGGTGCTCCAGGATACGGTCCCTCCGCACCCTCATGGGCAGCTCACAGGATTTGCAGTACAGAGTCTCCACCACAGAGGGGACTCCGGACTCACTGTGTTCGGTCAGGTGCCGTTTTACCCCCAGGTCTGTGAACTGAACTCAGCCGCATAGTCATGCAAAGTCTTCTTCTTTCGGCCCATGGTGGGAGATGGGGGGGCGGGGAATGTAAGAAAGTTAAGGGGTCACCAGGACCCTGGGACAAAAATTAAGGAGGCTCTGCCCTACTTTATCAGAGACCAGGGACCACACTTAACACCCAAAGCGGAGGAAAAGAGCCAGTCAGTTGGTAAAGGATACCGAGTATCCACCAGCTGTGCAGAAAACTACTGGCAAGGAGGGCTCGGTGAAAGGAGCCCAAGCCAGGGTCCTGGCTCCCAGCCTATGAACAACAGGGACCCCGGGGCTGGGCAAGAGATTTTCTTTGGAGTAAAATTTATCACCGAGAGAAGAGGGAAGCCTCTTTTAACTACAGGCAAGGGTGGCCGACGTGTCTGTGAGAAGGGAGCACAGTGACTTTTAAAGGGAAGAGGCATCCACTGCGGAACTGGGGGTCAACGTGGAAGGGTGTGCTCGTCTGGCTCCCTCTCCCTCCCCACCCCCACCGCCCAGGGCACACGGTCCACAATTGGATTGGAGAATCCTGAGAGGCAAGAACGTGGCTACTGGTCTCTTTTCTCCTTTTTCCCAAGAGAAAGAAAGAACGAAGGGTGGGAGGGATGAAAGGAAGAAAGAAGAGAGGGAAGGGAGGAAGAGAAGGAGGACGAAGGCAAGGAAGGAAGGAAGGGTGGGAAGAAAGGTGAAAGGGAAGGAAGAAGGGAAGGAGGAAGAAAAGGCAGGGAAGGAAGGAGGGAGGGAGGTGGCTGCGTGTGTCAAAAAGGGGCAGTCGTGTTACTTTCTTGAGAAGGTTATGTTCTGGGGAAGGGGGTTGGAGGGGAAGGAGAGACGCCCAGCGAGGTGCAGTGAGGGGGAGGGGGGAGGTTGTCCCCGGAGTGGGGGGATGGGGAAGACGGCCCTCCTCCAAGAGAAAAAGGCCCCACGGTCGACCTTGGCGGGGGGAGAGGGGCAGAGTCTTTAATCTTTTGCCGAGACAACGGGGGAGGGGGGAGCAAGGGTGTCTTTCCAAAGAGACTGAGCAAGTCTCTCCTCAGAGGAACGGGAAAAGAGGACACCGAGGGGTCTCTTCGGGGGAGTACGGGAGCCAGCGGGGTCTGTGGGGCTTCTGAAAGGTCAGAAGGTCATGGGGGTGGCTGACGAGAGAGGTCACGGATTCTCTCTTGAGAGGGTCGGGGGAGTCCTCCACACTGGGGTCAAGTCTCCGGGCAGGGTTTGGGGGAGTCTCCCCCAGGCCCTCGCTCCTACTCAGGGGTCTCTAGCCCCAGGCCCCGCCGTCCCCTTCCCGCTGCTCTTGGCCCGGGAGGAGCTTCAGCGCCACCCCTCCATCCACTCCGCCCATTCCGGGGTCCCTCAGGCCTCCAAGGGGCTTTAAAGCCGCGGCCAACCCCAGCCTGATCCGGATCCGGAAGCTCCGGGCGCGAAGGCGGGGCGAGACTCCTTTCTCTCCCCACCCCCACTCCCCGAGCCATTCTCTTCTTGGAGCCAACGGCCGGAGACGTGCGCGCGTACGCATGCGCCGTCCCCTTCCAGAGCGCGCTCGCTCTCTTACCATTTCCCTCATCTCCGTCCTCCACCGCGCCTAGTGGCCTGTGCGCATGCGTACCACTACTTCTCTAGCGCCCACCTGCGGCTCTCCGGCTTCTTTTCTGTGCGCGCTCCGCTCTCGGTGCCTTTTCTTCATCTCTACCACCGTCTCGCACTGTCCTTCCCACTCCCTCGTTCTCGCCCTCTGCGCTCTCGTTCCCTCTCCCTTTCCCACTCTTCTGCACTCCATTCCTCTCTTCCTTTCCCATTCTCCTGCGTTCTCGTCCCCTCTCTTTCCCACTCTTCTGCACTCCATTCCTCTCTTCCTTTCCCATTCCTGCACTCTCGTTCCCTCTCTTCCTTTGCTGTTCACCTGCGCTTTTGTCTCCTACTTTTCCCATTCTCCTGCGCTCTCGTCCCCTCCCTTTCCCACTCTTCTGCACTCCATTCCTCTCTTCCTTTCCCATTCTCCTGCGTTCTCGTCCCCTCTCTTTCCCACTCTTTTGTCCTCTCCTCCTCTCTCCCTTTCCCACTCTTTTGCGCTGTCCTTCATTCATTCCTGCTCCCCTGCTCAGTTCCCAGTAGCAACTGCAAAGCCTGTCTTTCTCTGTTCAGCTGACACAGCTGTTTTCATCAGCTTCTTCCTTCTGTTACCTTGTTATCTTCTGCTCCCCGGCTCAGAGCAATAGCTCCTTGTATGAAATGACATTTGTCTTTGAGTGTCTTGGCACACAAGTGCCTAATAAATATTGTTTGAGTGAGAAGACAGTTCAAATGTCTATCAGACAGCACAAGTAGAACATGGACAGTTCTCTGCTAGTCATCAGAAAGCTGTAGTTATCAGGGTTCCCAACTCCACCTCAACATGTTTCTAATGATCATATAGAAAACAGTGCCTATAGGTCACATAAAAAACATAGGTGCTTAATAAATGTTTATTGATATTGATGCATTGATATGGAAATTAGCTGGATACCTCCACCACCTTAGCTTTCAGTAAGCATTTTCCCATCTGAGGAGCCGTTTTTACTCAGGACTTTTATCTAAGAGGCTATTTTCTCTCACATGTCCTGGTCTCTTTGTGTTTCTACCCCCTTTCTACAAACAGAAGTTTCCAAATCCAAAAGAGGCAACACCTTAACCCGTATATGCATCATTTATTTGATGACCTTCAGTCAGGGGTACTGGTTAGTGGCTCCATGGCTAATCTGGAAACTGTCATGTAATATATAATGTGGCTGGGTGACCTGTCTTATTGATGGGGTGGTGGGACCTGGACTCCTAAAAGGAAAAGACTATTATGTCTTAGAAAGGAACACAGGCCCTTAATTTTCCCATGCATTTCAGCAGCCCAGATTACTGGTCTCAGCCCAAGACAACCGGCCCACCCCAGTTTACCTAGATCACCTAATTATTCTACTTGATATTCCTTTCCCTGTAGCAGCTTGCCCAACCCAGGCTACTTACCACTCCTTAATCCCATCCAGATCCTTTCACTGTCCTTTTTGTATATTTACATGTATATATTACATACATTGTATGTTTACATCAGTCTCACCTCCCCCCCACTGAGTTGCTGGTTCACCAGAAATCCCACTTGCTACTGTACAATAAATCTCATCATTTGACTGGAAGAAGGTTTGAGTACTGTGAATTCATTCCAAGCAGACACTGCCCTGTACCCTGACATTTTAGGGTTCCTAGCAATCCCAAACCACATCATTATTAAAATTAAAAGACTGTTATTCAAAATTAACAAGCCAAAACATTTACAAAAGAAGTTTAAAACATTCCCCCCTGTACCAAGAATTTGAGAACACAGCCTTTGAGGTATGGAATTAAGAGACAGATTTGCTTATTCCCTCCAACAAAGGAGATCACAGCCCACGCATGCCTTCCTATCTTGTGCATCTAGGGTCCAGGTCCTCCCATAAGTTCACTGTAAACCTTCCAACCCCTCTGTTTGGGGTCTGAACCTTCCATTTTACCTGTGATGTATAAAAAGTTCGAGAGACATAGTTTTGGGGTAATTAATCATTTTACTGATCATGCTAACAATAGTTAATAAAAAGGACCAACAATATTCTGGAATGCCAAAGACCCCTCATGAAGTGCACTCAATGCTTATATGCCCTTGGAAGAGTGGGTGTTCCTGACGGTGGCAATGGACTCTGATAGGTTAATGAGAAGAATGAATATTATAACGAGAGGTGGACCTATTCTAATGAGGGGCTGGGGAATGTGACACTGATCGCTCAGTCTTGGACAAAGAGATTTATTATCTCTTATCCAAACTACCCCTGCCTAGGGCAATCTAGACAAAAGGGGTCCACCTCTGCTCAGAACTGGCTGAGTGGAACACTGTGGGCCAGAATTCACCTTTGATTAAAATCTTTGGAAAGTTCTCCAGTTGGGTGGGACAACAACTCCCACCCAGGATGAAAAGGGATTTGAGCAATCTCAGCTATCAAAAATGTCTTCAGATGCCGGCTTGGCTTAGTGGAGAATGAGGATCTAGGTATGGAAAAATTTCAGGTCTCCCCAATATTAAAAATTAGTTAAAAAAAGGGGGGGGAAGTGCAGCTAGGTGGCACAGTGAATAAAGCACCAGCCCTAGAGTCAGGAGGACCTGAGTTCAAAAGTGGTCTCAGACCAGACACTTGAAACTTACTAGCTGTGTGACTTAACCCCAATATCCTCACCCAAAACAAAACAATTAGTTATCATTTCTCTCTTATCATTGTAAAGAATTCCCAGTGAGGACATTATCTTTGCCAGAGCATATCCAAAACTGTTATGCAAATTCTAGTCTTACAGAGTTGCCTGGGTTTCCTCCTTTCTAGAATGAAGGATTCTTATCTTCTGAGAACCCTTCCAGAACTATGATCCTATGAAATGAAATCTGTATAGCACAGAGGTATTTGTGTCATTTTAATTGATCAACTAGAGTTTATTTTTTTCTTTTTTTTAGATTGATTAATTTATTTATTTTTAGTTTTTGACATTCACTTCCACAAGATTTTGAGTTCCAAATTTTTCCCCATCTCATCTCTCACCCCACCCTAAGATGGCATGCATTCTGAATACCCTTTCTGCTAATCTGCCCTCCCTTCTATCTCCCCTCCACCTTCTCTTATCCCCTTCCTCTTCTATTTTCCTGTAGGGTTGGATAGATTTCTATACCCCATTGCCTGTCTATCTTATTTCCCAGATGCACATGAAAACAATTTTTTAACATTTGTTTTTAAAACTTTGGGTTCAAAATTTTCTCCCTTCCTCCCTCCCCACCCACCCTCATTGAGAAGGCAAGCAACTCGATACAGGTTATACTTGTGTAGTCATGTAAAACCCTTCCATAGTAGTCATACTGTGGAAAACTAACTATATTTCCCTGCATCCTATCCCATGCCCCATTTATTCTATTCTCTCTTTTGACCCTGTCCCTCCTCAGAAGTGTTTGCTTCTGATTACCCTCTCCCCTAATCTGCCCTCCCCTCTATCATCCCCCTGCTCTCTTATCCCCTTCCCTCCTATTTTCCTGTAGGGTAAGATATCTTTCCATACCCAATTGAGGGTGTATGTTATTCCCTCCTTAAGCCAATCCAATGAGAATAAGATTCACTCATTCCCTCTCACCTTCCCCCACTTCCCCTCCACCGTAAAAGCCTTTTCTTGTCTGTTTTATGTGAGATAATTTACCCCATTCTACTTCTCCCTTTCTCCTTCTCCCTGTATAATCCTCTCTCACCCCTTAATTTTATCCTCCAGATATCACTCCTTCATGTTTAACTCACTCTGTGCCCTCTATCTATCTATCTATCTATCTATCTATCTATCTATCTATCTATCCATATATATATCATATATATGTACATGCATATAATTTTTCCCTTCCCACTACCCTAATACTGACAAAGGTCTCATGAGTTACAAATATCATCCTTCCATGTAGAAATGTAATCAGTTCACTTAATAAGTCACTTATGATTTCTCTTTCTTGTTTACCTCTTCATGCTTCTCTTGAGTCTTGTATTAGAAAGTCAAATTTTCTATTCAGTCTTTTCATCAAGAATGTTTGAAAGTCCTTTATTTCA